CCTTTTGGAGGACTCAGAAAAGGCCCCCCACAACCTCTGCAACATAATAATTATAGTAGTTAACTGCTATTGAGCACTCACTGTGTGCCAGGCATGCATTTGGGTATGGGTGTGTATACGCTGTCTCTTATACACATCTAGATGTGTATAAGAGACAGCACCTGTAATCCCAGCTACTCTGGAGGCTGAGGCATGAGAAGTGCTTGAACCTGGGAGGTGGAAGTTGCAGTGAGCCGAGATTGCACCACTGCACTCCAGCCTGGGTGACAGAGCGAGACTCTGTCTCAAAAAAAAAAAAGTAAAAAATAAAACTGTTTTCTGAAGAGCAGAAGTTTTTAATTTTGATCAGCTTTAAATAAGCAATTTTTTCTTAAATGGCTTGTGATAGTTCGTTTCTTACCTAAGAAATCTTTAAGAACCTGTTGTCTAATCCAATGTCAAAAAGATTTTCTCCTCATTACATATACAACTCCTCAAACATATACAAGTCCTCAAACATATACAACTTCTCCCAGAAATTGTATATGTTTAGGTCTATGATCCATTTTGAGTTAATTTGCATATATTATGTGAGGTATCTTTTTTTTTTCAATTTTATTTTTATTTTTAATTTTTTTGTAGAAACGAGGTCTCACTATGTTGCCCAGGCTGGTCTCAAACTCCTGGTCTCAAGTGATCCTCCTGCCTCACCCTCCCAGAGTGCTGAGATTACAGGCATGAGGCACTGTGCCTGGCCTTCTCTGCAAGTTATATATATATATATGTCAGCCAGGTGTGGTGGCACACGCCTGTAGTCCCAGCTACTAGGGAACCTGAGTCAGGAGGATCACTTGAACCCAGGAGGTGGAGGTTGCAGTGAGCCAAGATAGCACCACTGCACTCCAGCCTGGGTGACAGAGCAATACCATGTCAAAAAAAAAAAAAAAGGTCCTGCAGGGCCCTATTGTGAGTTTGTTACACAATTTCCTGCCACTTAAATGGTGCTACTACCCCACCATAAGGCAAGCTAAATAGAAACTCAGTTATGCTAAGGCTCCTTGAGGGCATTATAGAAGATTAGCATGGAAATGGCCCTTCATTTCGCACTCTGCTCCATTCATTTTTGTCAGGTCACTCTCTTATCTTCACCACATTGTCAGATCTGTTTTACTGCTCTAGCCTCACTTCCCTCAGCCTCCTGCAGCATCTTCCCTGTCAGCTAGATCCCTTCCTCTCTGGATGAAGTCCTCTTCATCGACCAGCTTTCTCACTTGGTTCTCTAAGACAGTGAGGATCTGTCTGCTTTTTTCTTGACCATTAGTGGATAGGAAAAAGCTCTCATTCTCTGTAACCATTTGTCACCGAGGCCATAAAGACCTTGAACTAACTGCCTTATGGGAGTTCATTATTGGAAGTCTTCAGGAGTTTACACATTGATATACAAAGTAAGTAGGCCAGCGCATTTGAGTCTTGGCTCATGTATAATGATCTTTAATGCATATTGAAAAATCATTCTCAAGTAAGGATAACATATACCTCAGGTCATTTACAGTCTCAAAGTTTTGTCAGTATACTTTAAAACAATCCTGGGAACAGTTCTAGATTGAAGGAGACTAAAGAATCATAAACACTAAGTGCAATGTCTGATGTTTGACTGGATTCTGAATTTGTTTAAGCCATGTGATGACTGGGACATTGTGAAAATGTGTATATGGGCTACATAGTAAACAATGATAATATTAAGTTCCATTGGGTGATGATAGTATTCTGGTTATGTAGGAGAATGCCTTGGTTCTTAGGGGCTGCACACTGAAGTATTTAATGGTGAAGGGTCATTATGTCTGCAACTGACTCTCAAATGGCTTGTCCAGAAAATGTGTTAGACACACACACGGAAAGCAAATGTGGCAAAGCATAACAATTGTTGATTCTAGATGAAAGTTATACAGGTGTTCATTATACCATTTGAAAATGCTTTCCAGCCACCCTAAGGCTTAAAGGAAAAAAATAAAACCTTTAAAATAAAAAGTTGGGGGCAGAAAAAGAGTAACAAAACCTTTGGACTTGTGCCTGTAATCCCAGCACTTTGGGAGGCCAAAGAGAGAGGGTTGCTTGAGCTCAGGAGTTCGAGATCAGGCTGGAGTACATGGTGAAACCCCATCTCTACAAAATATACAAACATTAGCCAGGCATGGTGGCACACACCTGTAGTTCTAGCTACTCAGGAGGCTGAGGTGGAGGATCACTTGAGCACAGGAGGCAGGGGCTGCAGTGAGCCGGGATTGCACCGCTGCACTCAGCCTGTGTAACAGAGTGAGACTCGGCCTCAAAACAAACAAAAGAAACACCTTTGTGTCAGAGTTAAGGTTGCTGTATAATAAAATGCTGGGGTACGGTTCTGGGTCCAGTCCACATGAAGATCAGAGACTTCCACTGGACCCAAAGGAATAATACTAGTCACTTGTGATTATTCCTCTATAAGGTTTGAAAGATGTATCAGGCCAACTTAATGGATGCAGTTTTAATCTAACACTCTATACATTGTACCCCCAACTCATAGGCTTCATGTATCCATGAAACACTCTTCTGTCTCCACAGTCTTAATGTGGCCCTAATAAAGCCACCCTCTTGGAGGACTCAGAAAAGGCCCCCCACAACCTCTGCAACATAATAATTATAGTAGATAACTGCTATTGAGCACTCACTGTGTGCCAGGCATTTTTCAGGTATTGATTCATTTAATCCTCAAAACTCATTAGAGGTAGGTACTATTATAATGACAAGGTCGAGGAACAGAGATTAAGCAATTTGCCCAAATTCACATTATTAGCGGAGCTGGGATTTAAGCCTGGTCTGGCTGTGGAATCTGTATTCTTAATGACCATGCTATACTCCCTGAGATTGACCTTTTACTCCAGTTACAGGGATTGTCTTTCTCTCTGAAACTGCCCCCAATAAGCCATAACAATAAATTAATCCATTGTCTTGGTTATCTCTTCTGCCCAAATTTACATTTTGAAAAAAATTTAAACATACCAGAAAGATGAAAAGAATAGTATAGAATCCAACTGAAAATCAGGCACTGCATGTCATGTCTTCATTTCCTTTAATCTAAAACATTCCTCTAGTTTCTTTGATCTTTCATGACACTGGCATTTTTTAAGAGTCAAAGATAGTTGTCTTGTAAATGTCCCATAATCTGGATTTGTCAGTTTCCTCATTTTTGGGAAAAATACTGCATAGGTAATGTATCCTTCCTGCCTCGTAACCGCAGGTGGCCTGTAATACTAAATTTGATCACTTGATTAAGGTGATCTTCCAGATCTCTCCATTGTAATTATTTTGCTGGCTGCAGTGGCTCACACTTGTAATCTCAGCACTTCAGAAGGCCAAGGTGGGAGAATTGCTTGAGTCCAGGAGTTCTGCACCAGCCTGAGCAACACGGTGAAACCCTGTGACTCTTCTTAGAAGTCTACCTTCTTCCTGTGTACTTTCAGCCCAAAGTGAGACTTTTGAGTTGGGAAGAAATACTTCTGAATTAAACTACTGACCAGTGTCACCCAATTCTAATCCCAACCACCTTTATTCTAGGCATACCGTACTCACTGCCATACTTACTGTTCAGTTGGGTACCTTTTCCCTCCTTCCTATTGGCCTTCTAGTTCCTACCCAAGTGTCCAGTCCACAGGCCTCAGTAACACCTTTTCGCCCAGCCCTGTGGTAGCGTTGGCCTGCCTCCTTTACTTTCTCAAGTAACTGCTTTACCACTAATTTATTGTTTTGTGTTTTTATCTGTAGGATCTTACCTAGCCGTATGGCCTGCTGCCTCTGCCAATTTAAAAACAGCATTGAGGTTGTCTGCAAGACAGTCAAGCTGCATTGCAACAGTGCATGTCTGACAAACACCATACATTGTCGTGAGTCCAAATTGCCTGGTGATCAATTGTTACATTATTTTAAGTATTTGTTTTTAAACGTTTTATTTTTAATGATGATAAAATTGTAAGTTAATGATATAATTGCTTTATTTTATTTACTCATTCAGAGTTAAACTCCCTCAATTTCTGAACTATTCCCTTGCTGAGAGTCAGGTTCTCAGTTATTATTACAAAATTTAATAATAGAACGGTTCCATATGCACAAAGGACCAAGACAAAGGAATGGGAAGACTAGGGAATAACATTAACATCCACACACTGTGTACTGTGCTCTCTGCTTGGTGCTTTGCCCCCAGTGACAATTTATTCATATAGTGCAATGTAGTTTGTAAACTGGTTTTATATCCATGGGGTCTCAAGTACTCTCTGCCTTACAGGACAGATGTAGATCTGATTTTGATTTTTTTGTTTTTACAGGTTTATAAGAGTACAAGTGATGCTGTTTTATTTGAAGCCTGAGAGTTTCTGGTTCCATAACCAGAAATTGCTACCTGGCTCTTCTAATGGAATGGAGGGCTTTTCCAAGCTTAGACCATCCAACGCTGAACTTGCTCTGAATTCAAACCTTTCCATTCACAGAACAAATGCGCAAGTGCTTTCAGGAGTGTTTCTGTAGATTAGGTTTATCAGCACCAACTTCATGACTTCTAAAATGTGACTGCTTTCATGTCCAGATAGCTTGAATACAGGTATCTATCTACCAGTGATGTGAGGTGGATAATTAATAATGCTTGGCTACTTATATAAAGACAGTGTTGCTTATTTTTCAAAACTTTTTTTTCTTTTTTTTACCAATTATATTCTTCCCTTCTCCCCAGGAGGTGGGCAGAAAAGCATTGGTAATCTCCTTTTACAGATGAGGAAAAACAAGATCAGAGGTGCTAAGTGCTGTAGCCTAGTGCCAGGTCTTCTGTCCTCAATTCTGGGTTCTCCCCAAGCCCGTGTTTCTCCTTTCTCACAATCTTTACTTCTTCCTCTGACCCTCAGCACCACCCAAAATACTTTTAATTCTGGAAAAGAAAGCCAGCTGCACACGGGCACACTTGACCTTCATGCAGTCAGAAGCTTTGGATGGTTCCCCATCCAGAATATTAGAGATAAAATGAAAGCAAAGTAGGCAACTGACAAAAGTTGCTTTTTCTCTTCTGCATTATAGGATCTCAAGTAATGTTTATCCAGAAACTGCTGTCATACCATAGATTCATTGTACATTCAACAACATAAGCATAGCATACAATCTGGCAAATTAAAAACCTCTTAACCTACACCCTGGATCCCTGTCCAAATTTAAGAAAAGAATTAAGGTGGACACAGTGTTTTTTCCATGTCACGTCTTCTGTGATGGGGCTACCGCATGTGGGAGCAGAGAATGGGGTGGGTGGGTGGAGCGTGTGCCAGATGAGGATCTATCAGCAATGGGAGGGGCTCTCCACGTTAGCATCTCCACCCTGCTCCTCTCAGAGGACCGCCTTCCATTGCATTCAGCTGTGATGGTGGCAAGAACACAGGCACACCGAGGACAAGGAGAGAGGGAGCCTTGTACTCTCTCTGCATGTGAGGCAGGACAGCACAGGGTACGGAGCAGTCTGCAGAGAGGCCAGCTCATCAGGGAAGCACTTGTCTTCCACCTTGGGCTTTGACTGAGCACTGGGCAACTGGCCCCTGGGGATCAACGGAATAATCCTAAGCAGAGTTACTCTATGTCACACTATGGAATGTTCCAAGTAGGTGGCCATGTTTTCAAAAGATGTCTTTTCCTCCTCTTGTTGTTGCCGTTTCATAGGTTTAGGATTGGGTGTGTTTCTCCTCTCTGAATGGCACTCGAATGTTTGCTGACTCCTACTCCGTGTGACTGGGGTGTACAGCTGTGGACTGATGCATGCTGTCCCATCATCTTTCATGATCAAAGCAGTCTCTTCTTTTTTCACAGCTGAAGAAGCATCTGTAGGGAATCCAGAAGGAGCGTTCATGAAGGTGTTACAAGCCCGGAAGAAGCACACGAGCACTGAGCTGACTATTGAGCCGGAGGTGCCCTCAGACAGGAGTGGCATCAACTTCTCCGGCTTTGGGAGTGAGCAGCTAGACACCAATGACGAGAGTGAGGTTATCAGTGCATTAAGTTATATCTTGCCTTATTTCTCAGCAGGAAATCTAGATGCAGAATCAATGTTGTTACCGTTCATGAAACGGCTCTTTTCTAATGTGCAAGATGGAGATAGGGCCCTGGGTATTTTGAAAAACAATATAAAGAGCCCTTCTCTTCAACCTGCATCCAACAGCTCAACTTATGAAAATAAATTGAGAAAGCTGTATTTGCTAGAAAATGTGTTAGATGCGGAAATACAAGAAAAAATCGATGAAGTTAAAAGGGAAGAAAAAACTGCCATGCTTATGCAGACCAGCCTTCTAGGTAACAAATTTAAACGCCAATTATTTGAAAAGAAATTAGAAACTGTCCAACCCCAGGAAAACAGCCTGGCAAAGATTCAAAGTGTAGGCAACAACCTGCAGAGAGTGAACAGAGTCCTCACGGGCCCAAGGAGCATCCAGAAAAGGCACTTCAAAGAGGTGGGAAAGCAGAGCACCAGGAGGGAAGAGGGTGCGCAGGCATTTGTGGAGAGCGCTGCCCAAGAAAAAAGGCTCGGGAGCCCGGTCTCAAGGGAGCTGGAACAGCCTCATATAGAGCAGGGGCGTGAGAAGTTAGTGGGAAACACCGTCTACACCAAGCCTTCGTTCACCCAAGAGCTTAACGCAGCAGTCTCCTCTGTGCTGAAACCCTTCTCCATGGGCGAGCCTTCTGCCTCCACCCCTGCAAAAGCCCTACCTGAGGTCAGAGACAGATCGAAAGACTTAACCCACGCTGTTTTCATTTTAGAAAATGCAAAGGCTAGAGTTACAAATATGAAGGCTGCTAAACCAATCGTACATTCCAGAAAAAACTACCACTTTCATAAAACTCGCTCCCGTGTGGCCCACACAACACCCAAGGTCAAAAAGATTAGAAAGTTGAGAAAGGAAAGTTATCTCGATAGACTGATGCTCGCAAACAGGCCGCTGTTCTCTGCAGCGAAGAGCCTCATAAATTCCCTTTCACAAGGGACTTTTTCATCTTTAGGAGACTGGAGTCCTCAGGAAAATCCTTTTCCTAAACTATTTGATCCTTCAGAACGTGTTATAGAGAACACTAATGTAAAGAACACAACTGCAAGAAATGCCTTCGAAGCAATCATTTTTATGGAAAACCCTACTATGCCGGAAGACACCATCTCTGAAAACACAACCTACAATCCTCCTCCTGAGGCAGATTCCGCTGGGACTGCGTTCAACTTAGGGCCAACTGTTAAACGAACCAATCAGACACAATGGGAATACAACAATGTGGGCACTGACCTGTCCCCCTAGCCCAAAAGCTTCAATTACCTGTTGCTCTTGTCTGCAGGTGATCAGTTTGAAAATCAGCTAACCGAGCAGCTACGGTCCCTCATCCCCAGCGAGGATGTGAGAAGGTTTATTTCTCATGTTATCCGGACCTTAAAGATGGACTGCTCTGAAACCCGTGTGCAACTGACCTGTGCCAAGCTCATCTCCAGGACAGGCCTCCTGATGAAGCTTCTCAGTGAGCAGCAGGAAGTAAAGGCGTCCAAGGCAGAATGGGATACGGACCAATGGAAAACTGAGAACTATATCAATGAGAGCACGGAAGCCCAGAGTGAACAGAAAGAGCAGAAGTTGAGTGAGGTGAGGACCCCACAGAAACATAAGACCCAGATTTCCCATCATTTAGTGTATTCCAGGAAAGTGCCCACACAGGAGAACCTGGGACTCCTAGGCCATAGCTTGTCCTGGTCATGTAACTTCGTCCATGACGGTGATCTCCCACTTTGCTCATGTAGAGGGTGAAATAGATTAGTGCACAAGGTGAACTGTAGACCAGGGGTGGTAGCTCACGCCTGTAATCCCAGCACTTTGGGAGGCCAAGGTGGGTGGATCACTTGAGGTCAGGAGTTTGAGAACAGCTTGGCCAACATACTGAAACCCTGTCGCCACAAAAAATACAGAAATTAGCTGGGTGTGGCGACACATGCCTGTAATCCCAGCTACTGGGGAGGCTAAGGTTGGAGGATCACCTGAACCCAGGGAGGTCGAGTCTGTAGTGAACTGTGTTCGCACCACTGTACTCCAGCCTGGGTGACAGTGAGATCCCATCTCAACAAAAATAAAAAAGAACCAGAAAGCTACTCACCTGGAACACTGGGGTTTTGAAAAGTTAGCTTTCATTCTCTTTTTGTTTTTTTTTAATTATTCTTTCCTTTTTTTTTTTTTTTTTTTTTTTTTTAGCCCACGAAAGAATTTCCAGGATATGGCTATAACAACAAACTCATCTTGGCATTATTTGTGAGCGAAATTCTAACGACTTTGATTATAATTTTCTGCCTCATTCAGGTAAGCACGACAATTAATTCAGGTTTTCAGAATGCAGTCCTGTCTTTGTGTGGATTCAGAGCTCACAAACTGAAAACCAAAGCCGCTTTCCCACCTGCTGCTACTTCACATTCTTCTTCAGTCGGTTAAGGCTGAGGTACGCTTTGTTCTTTTACTGTAGTGTATATTCCAGGATTTTAAAGAAACCTCACTTCCAGGAGATTTCTATGAATTGAAACCAAGTTAATCCCACTAGATTATTTTAAGTTAAGTTGATATAATAGCAAAATTTGTCCCACCCAAAACGATGTCAACAATTGGATGTACTCACCAAGTCACCCTTACTCTGCCACTCATTTATTTCCTTGTTGCTGAAATGATGAGAGACGTATAATCTCCATCCTCACGGAGTTGTCATCACCCTGGAGAGGAAGGAGACAGCCAAAAGAGAGAAGTATTGTCTTGTAGACTTATTAGGTTCACACAGTATCGTCCTTCTCCAGTGTGTAAGGTGTTGTCTAAATAGCTCCAGTTAAAGCACTACAGAGTAGCCATTTTTTAAAAAAAATTGTTGGCCACATTTTTAAGTTTACAGGGGAGGGGAGCATCTCATACTCCAGCCCTCCTGAGCCTAGGCCCTCTGTGAGATGTGTCACCGTTTTTTGGACACCATATGGGACAATCCCCCTTGGATTAGAGATGCTCAACCTGCATCAACATATCTAAAGCCTACATCTGGCTACTCTGGGGTGAGTCCTGTTCACAGTGCCCATTCCTGGAGCTTGCCTCTGTTTGCCTTTTGTTCAATTACATAATGTATTACTTTTCCCAAGAGGCCACTGCTAGCATATTGGAAGTGATTTAATAAGCTGGCAACCTTGACGCTATGCTACCGGTCCAACCTTACTTGCCTCATTTACCATTTCCATTATTGTGGCAGCCCTCCATTCCAGCCAGAGCAGCCCCTCACCATACCCCAGTCACACCATCCGCATTTCTGCTCTGGTCTGTGCATCTGTCCATCTAAAATGCCCTTATTTCACTCTGCCTGTGGGAGTCCCATGAATCTCTCCAAAGTCAACTCAAGTTCATCTTTCTGCTTGAAACCTTCCCTGAATATCCAGCCCTCCTGAGCCTAGTCCCTTTGTGAGATTTGTCCCCATTTCTTGGACACCATATGAGAGACTTTAGAGGCTGAAGTGGGAGGATTGCTTGAGCCAGGGAGGTCTAGAATGCAGTGATCTGTGGTCATACCACTGCACTCTAGCCTGGGCAACAGAGCGAGGCCCTGTCTCAAAAGCAGCCCCACCAAAAACTATCTTGGGATTTTAATAGGATTACATTAAATTTGTAGATTAATTTGAGAACTGACATCTGTACAACATTCTAGGAACGTGGTATTTCATGTCATGTATTCATTTCTTGTTAATGTCTTTCAGAAGAATTTTAGGATTTCCATCATATAGATCTTATACATCTTTTGTCAGATAAAAGATCTTTGTATTTTTGTTCCTAAATACTTCATACATTTGCATTGACATTGTAAATGGGATCTTTCTTCCATTTTCTAATTAGTTAATGGTGGTACATATGAAAAGTAATTGAGATTTGTGTGCTGCTCTCTTGATTTTGTTTCTAGCCACCGTACTGAATTCTCATATTGCTTCCACTAAAATCTTAGTTGATTCTCTTAGGCTTCTTTGACTGTCTAACATTTATCATTTCATATGCAAATAATGATAGTTTTGTCTCTTCCTT